CGGGGGCCCCCCGCCCCCTCCAGGCGGCCAGCCTGCCCTGCCGTGGCCCCGTGGCCCCGTGGCCCTGCTGCTCTGCTGTTCGGCCAGATGGGGCAGCGGTGCACAGGTGGGGGCAGAGCAGGGCACACTCAGGAGGCAGCCATGCCACTCCTCCATGGTTGGCCTGGTCCCGGGAGGCCTCCCAGGCAGAGGAGCATCCACATCACCCGCACCGTGCGTCCCAATGTCCCGGTCAGGCTGTCAGAACCCAAAGGGCCATAGAGACGGTCTCCCCACCCTCCTCCTCTACCAATGGGGACGGTGAGGGCGGAGAGGTTAGCGGTCCCACAGCTCGTGAGCAGCTGACGGGTTAGATGCCAGGCTCCCCGGTTACACAACATCCGCGGTCCGGCTGGGTGTCGTTCGGCGACACTTCTTCAGCTCTGTTTCTGTCTGTCCCCTCTCTGAGGAGGGCCGGGCACCGGGTCAGAGTCTGTGATCTGAGGGTGCTGGAGCCACTGTTCGCACGCCATGTTCTCCGCCTTGGCAGATGCCCCTGCACTAAGTCAGACGCTAGAGCTGGGTCGTTCCCACCAGTTGAAAAGTCTCGGCATCTCAAAGATGTGTGATTTTTCTGCATTCTTGCTCTTGGTCAAAATTGGAAAACACACGACTGAAAAAGCTGACAGATCACATTGGTGTCCCTGAGTAACGCCACGTCTCCAAATGCACACCCGACCCGCCCGGTGTGCTGAGAGCCACAGCTGAGGCAGCGGGCACTGCCACGGCTCCTGGCCCCATGTTAGATGTCTGCTCTCCGCGGATCCCACCGCCTACTCAGGGAACTTACGTCGTTTTCTGCACACCCACTGTGGGAGCCGACACTGCCCCGGACACTGGGGGGTGGGCGGGGGGCAGGCCCAACCATAGAAACCCCGAATTTAAAACCTGCGCTGGCCGCCCATGGCCTGATGGCTGGGTCCCTTGTGGCCGGCTGCCCGGCTCCTGTCTTGGATCTGGAGGCCTGAGGGGCAGGCTGAGTGCACGTGAGCACCCAGAATCCCACGGGGAGGGCAGACGGAGGAAAGACCGACCTGATCGGTTCTCTAGTGGGTGCTTTCTTCTCTCTCTCTCTCTCTCGTGTCCTCTAGCAAAAAAAAAAAAAAGTCTTGCGCTTTTAAAACACAGTGTTCAAGACAGAGAATACATTTGTAAATATCTTTGATTGCATTTGCTTAATTAAGTTTGAGTAGTTAAGTTTTATTATGGAAAGCTTAGAGGAATTTTGAAGAAAGTGAATAATTCAACTGTTTTTTATAAGAATTATTTATTTTATTTAACTTACTATTTAAGTTGACCAGAGAGAGAAGGGAAAGGGAGTGACAAAGCTAGCCTCCAGGTCCCAGATTCAAACTGCAGCTGGCCATGTGGGAGTCCAGTGCCCTAACCACACCACCTACCGGCCCCTAATAATGCAGCTTTCACCAACAGGTGACCGCCAGCTTCACTGAGGACTTCTCGCTTAACTCTGCCATTTCTCAGCTGATGGGCCTCAGCAGTGCCCTCCTGGTAAGGGACCTTTCTGCCCTCACTTGCTGGGAGCAGAGGGCCAGGGCGAGTATGGGGGTGGCCTGCAGGGTCCAGGCTGGGGACGGAGAGCAGAACCACAGTGCCACCTTCTCCCTGTGACTGTTCTTTTATTTCTTAAACATTTTTTTTTAGTCTTTCAAAAAGTTGCCTAATGGCATAGGTACTTACCAGAGAGGGGGCACCGGATCACGGGGTGGGTCACTGCCGTCCTTCCCCCTCCACCCTGTCAGGGCTGGGGCACACGCACGTGCCCAGTGTGCTTTTCACACCGCCAGGTCTGGGATTCGAACCGCCGTGTCTGCGCAGTCTGCCCCCAGATAAGCAGGGCTTCCCCGCCGTGCCGCGGCCAGCTCTGAGCCTGCTGTCGAAGGTGCATTTCCTCACATCTGCTTTTACTGTGCGAAGGCTCCTTGTTTGGTTTTGTGTTTTTTGTTTTTTTTTTTAAGAATTTTTTGCAGTAGGGCACATGTACTGTCCAGAGAGACAGAGAGACCGAAAGCAAGAAATCACCCCCAGGAACCAGCAGATGGCATAATGGTTATGTCGCTGGACTCCCATGTGGTCGATCACGGTTCGATTCCCAGACCTGGCAGCTTAAAACTCGCACCAGGTTCATGTGAGTGTGTGCCCAAGATCCCGAAAAGAGAATGGAGGAGAAGGGATTGTGGCATGGCCATCCCCGCAGGGGGTGATTTCTCATTTTCTGTCTGTCTCTTTCTGTCTTTGGCAAGTACACATGCCCTATAACAAAAATCTCTCTCTCTCTAAAAAAAACAAACAAGCAAAAAAGAAAGAGATCACCCTCAAGGGAGGATGGCCATGCCATAATTCCTTCTCTATTCTCCTTGGATTTTTGGCACACAGGCACATCTGCCCAGCATGAGGTTTAAGCTGCCGAGTCTGGGACTTGAACCACGGTTGAACATGTGGGAGTCCAGTGCCTTAACCACTATACCACCTGTTGGCCCTCTGGAAGGTTCTTAATGATTGTCTGGTCCCAGGCCCCTTTTCCTTCAATATTTTACAGTGGACATTGAGACCTAGGACGTTCAGTAACACGTCCAGTAACCATGGCAGTCAGGGAGCAGGCTCAGGCTCCTCTTCTGCCGATTTCCCGAGTTGGAGAACTTCCTGGGCATCATCATATTTTATCTTTATCTGACCTCAATGGCCAGAAATTATCCTCACTGACAACAAAAACTGCCCTTTTCAGTATAGACTCATCTTTTAAAAAAAATTTTTTTTATTTGGGACCAGCAGTTGGCGTAATGGCTATGTGGTTGAACTCCCATGTAGTTGACCACGGTTCGAGTCCAAGACGTGGTGACTTAAACTCACACTGGGCGCGTGTGCATACGTGCCCAAGATCCTGAGAGGAGAATGGAGGAGAAGGGATTGCGGCATGGCCATCCCCCCTGGGGGATCATTTCTTGCTTTCTGTCTCTCTGTCTCTGTCTGTCTTTCTGGCGAATGCACACACCCTATAGCAACAACCTCTCCTATATATAGATAGATATAGATAGATAATTATTTTATTTATCATTATTTTAATGATATAGAGAGGATTAGAATCTCAGTCCAGCCAGGTGTCTGGTATGGTAAGGTGGTAAGGCAGGATCCTACACAGCTGACTGTGCAGTTCAAGTCCCAGATCCACAGCTGGACTACCACACTGGGCACGGGTGTGTGCACCCAGGATCCCATGCAGAATGGACGAGCAGGGCTTGCAGTGCGGTCAGCACCCCTGGAGAGTGCCTTTTTGGAGAGGGTGTTTTTGTTTTGGTTGGTTTTTTGCTATAGGGTGCTCTGTCAAATGTGCTGAAAATACTACCCTTGGAGGGCGGTCCTGGGCACCGAGTGAATGAGCATTGCCAGGGCCCAGGAAGCCCTCCGTCCCCCGAGGAGGTGGGAGGCTGCGGCAGCATCTTCGGACCTGTGGTCGGGTGGGGAACGTTCCCTGTCCTGAGCAGAAGCAGCTGCGGGAGGCCTGTCCCTGCCCGGTCCCGGGATTCAAACACGCGGATGGCCTCTGCACAGGCCCCGGGCACCCACAGCGCTCTCTGCGCTCTCTCCTGCAGCAAGCCCCCCAGGCCGTCGTCCAGCACAGCCCCGAGTTCGAGGATGCACTGTGCGCGCTGGTGGTGATGGCTGCTCCACTGGCACCCCACATCGCCTCGGAGCTCTGGGCAGGTGCGTGCGGGGTCTGTGTTGACCGGGTACTGGGGGTGGGACGCACAGGTCGTGTGTGTGTGTGTGCGCGTGTGTGCGTGTGTGTGCGTGCATATGTGTGCACATGCGTGGGCGTGCAGTGGTATTTCAGAGAGTCCCCTTGTCATGATCCTGCTTCGTTGTCATGAGCACTAGGACTCCAGGCATGTCCCATCACACCTGGCTTTGCAAGTGGGTCAGGAGTCGAGCCTGGGCCTCCACGTGGCCTGGACCTCCGGCAGCAGTGTCAGGCCCACGGCGTCGAGGCTGTGCCTCCACCTGGCCTGG